GATCACGCCTGCCCTATGCTCTGCCATGTCGGCGTACGGGCGAGCTCCTCCTCCGTCGTGGGGATGGCGGGTTGGCGAGCTAGGGCGGACCGCGGGGGCGCGGGCAATGGTCGTCCTACCCCCGCCCCTGCCCCTCACCATCCCCCCTGGTAGGCGCGGGCAGCACTCGTCCTGCCCCCCCACCCTTCGGGCCCGTCTCGAAGTCTGATCCATGCCTCACCAGGGTAGCGTTGGCTTGTGTCGTTGTGTTGGTGGGGCTGTCGTGTAGGTCCAGGCTACTGGTCCTGGTTGGTCGTTGGTGGCTGGCGGTCGTTGAAGTCGTCTGCAGTCCGGGTAGCTGGAAGACGCTGGGACGTGTGCGTGCATGCGCGATACGTACTGCTGTTCTGCTACCGTGGCGACTTGAGCCCGCGGTATTCCCTCGCATTCGGGGCTTCCCCAGGGCTTGCGCCCTAACGCCTCCAGCAATCCGTGGCGACGCTGCCTGAGGTGTTCCCACGCAGTCGAAGCTCCCTCAGGACTTGCGCCCTAACGCCGTTGAGGTCGATTGGCGGGTTGATGGGCGCCTTGGTTCGCGGGGGTATGTCATGGTGCGGTGCGTGGCTGCGGGGGCTCGTGCACGTGGTGCGGGTGGCGTCGTTAGATCGCAGACGTAGTGTTGTCGGGAAGGTAGACTCTGGTTGGTCGTGTTGTAGGGCCTAGTGGTTGGTGGTTGGTCATGTTGTTGTTGGCGGTTGGGTAGTTGTTTGGTCCTGTCGTCGTTAGTTTGGTAACTGGAGTTGTTGGGCGTGCTGGATATGGTGCGGCGTGGGGTGCGTTCGGCATCTTCTGCGCGCCGTACTGCGCAGCCTGTGCCCGTGCCTGTTAGCGCCCTCGGGAGCCCCAATCCCTGTGGCAGTCGTGGCCAAGTTCTGCGGTCTCTGCGTAGTAGTCCGATGATGCGTAGACGTTGTGGTAATCCCCGTCGGCCAATAGCCCGCGGCGCAGCGTCGCCTGCCAGCTGCCCGAATCTCGCCGCGAAAGCCGCCGCCATGGCTCTGCACAAGAGCGACGGGTAATATTTGAGTGGCGCCGTCTTCCATCCACCTCTGCCATCGCGTCTGCAGGCTCGGCCATGTCCATTGTGCGTACAGGTCTGCCCCCCGGGTACTGCCAGCGGTTATTGCCGCGCTTCGCGTAGGTGCTCAGCGAGCAGGCACGTTGGCTTCTGCGCTGTCTGTCCAGACTGGCACTGGCCGGTGTAGTGGAGTTCCACGCTCTGTTGTTCCAATCGCAACTTGGTCTCCGCTCTGTGCCAACTGCTCGGTGCTTGCGGGCACGAGGTGGCAGGTGCTGGATGTCCGAGCACGGCTGGCACTTCGTACTTCAGACCCGTCGTGCTGAGTAAGATGGCCGTTCTGTAAGGGTCGCTGCCCACTGCAAGATGTTGCAGTTATGTCTGGCAGGCTGCTTGCACGCCCCACGGGTGTTAGCGGGCCCCAAAGGGTCGCGGAGCTCTGCCCTCGAGGGCGCGCCACCCGGAGGAGCGCCACGTCTCGCAGGGTGGTCCAACCAAAATGCCGAAGATCGTGCCAGACCGTATAGCGTTGGCCCGGAAAGCCAGCGCGCCCCGCTTGGCGAGGTCGCCTTTGTCGGGGTCGATATGCACGTCAATGGAGAGCAGCAGGCTACGCGCATTTCAAAGTGGCGCTGGAAGTCCTCCACTCGCCTCCTTCCTGACACGAGGTGCAGCAGGAACATGGTCGTCGTAACCAGCGGCCTGGATGTCGTGAAGGTTGTAGGCACGGGTGCCTCCGGCTCGACGCTTGCGGCTCGATCTCGGTAGCTGGTCTGGGTACGGTCAGCGAGCTTCAGGCGCAAAACTTGTTGGACTGGCATGAGTGCCTTTGTCGCCCCAGGACCTTTAGCCCTTCTCGCGGCCACTTGGAGTTGCTCATCTTCCCGTCGATCAGCTGCTTCTTCTGGGTCAATCGGCTGTTCTGTCGCTTGTGGCACCGCGAGGCACTTGGGGCATCTCCTGAGGTGCTTCAGGATGCGCGACCTCGAGATGAAATCTTTGCCACACCAAGGGCATGTGGTAGATCTGGCGGGGCGCTTGGCTAGGTCGTAGCCAACGTGCTCCAAGGTAACGTGCCGCTTCCAAGCGCCCTTAATCATCGGGGCCCTGCCGCGCTCGTGGCAGACGTACCAAGCCCGGTGTCAGTATACATCATGCTGCCACTGACGAAATCTGAACCACGCCCGCGCAATCAGTGCCTATGCTGCATGTTATGGCTGGCATCGTGCCCATCTGGTGAACCCTCGAAGGGTCAGCTCCGATCCCTTCATGTTTCACCAGAAGTAAGTGGAGCTTGCTGCTCGCCATACTGATCCAGGTACCTTTCCTGCCCCGCTTGCCACGCCTGAGCGACCCTACATATCCCCCTGTGCTCCTGCTGCAATACATTCATGGCCTGGTCCTTCTTGTAATTGTCCTTGCACTTGCGGCTGCAAAATGGTGTTACCCTTCTCGGTGCGCGCTGTGCTTTGCCCTGAAGTGTTCCTGTTCGGCGTGGATCATCATATTTCTCGCTTGCTCTGCTTCTTCTCGCCCTCTTGCATGCCTTTGTGCTTCTTGCGCTGCCATTTGCCGAATCGTTATCTCATCGTTCCTCGCTTTCTCCATCTGCTGCGTGAAGAAGGCAGCTCTGTTCCTGTCCTCCAGCGCAACTCCTGCTGCAGCTTCAGCTTATCCTGCTACATGTGGTTTCTCACGTCGTTCATCATGGCCTGCGCTCGTTCCTCCTGGGTTATGGTGCTGTCTCTGTCAGCTTCACGTGCCTTGGCCTCCACTTCTCCCACTTTGGCGTTGAACCTGTTCGTAGGCATGTCCATCTCCCACTGTTGGACCTCTTCCTGTGTCCTTAGCTGCTCCTTGTGCGTTTTCTCGGCGTTCCTGAGCTGTTGTCTCGCCTTTTCTGTCCTGTTCCCGCTTCTTGGTAGCCTCCTCCATGGCTTCTTCCTTTCTACTCCATTCGGCAGCTTGCTCACGTTGCTTGTGTTGCGTCCTCTGTTGCTGCTGATCGAGGCGCTCGTTGATCTTTCTGAGGGCCTCCCTGACGTCCTCCTCGTTCTCCTTCGGCTTCTCGTGCTGGCGGGTGGGTGTGGGTGCCCTGCCCGCGGGAGATTGCCTCGGCCTTGCCGTAGGGTATGGCGTTCGCCCTCTCCTGGGTCCTGCGCTGATGTCCTCGCCCGATGTCTCCGCCTTGACTCCAGCGTCTTTGGCCATCTGGTCTCTCGTCTCTTGCATTCGTGTTTTGTAGACCTTGATGGTGTGCGACGCTCTGGCTTCTTGATCTAGCATCTGGTTGAGCTGCTTCTCCAGGCACGCATGCTCCTCCTCTAGTCTTTCCACGGTGCTTCTGAACTGCTCTAGCCTCTCCTTCGGTGGGAGGACGAAAGAGACGTTCGTGGCGGTGATGGCTGCCTCCTGTTCCAGCTTTTCCGCATCCAGTCCGGCGCTTCTGGCCCATATCATGTTCTCAGCCAGCCGCGCCAGCCGCTGACACTTCGTCTTGTACCATACGAACATCATCTCCTCGTCGGTGGGTGGCGTGCTCCAACTCTCGTGCTCCATCGCGGTCGCAAACGGCACGGGGGTGATGCTGTTCAGTGCATTCTTCTGCCGCTGAGTGTACTGGAAGTTGCCGACGTGCTCTGTGCAGCGGGTCTCGTGTTGGGTCCTGTTTCTGCTTCTGCGGCCCGTCCTTTTGGCCGAGCTGCTTCTAAATGTGCGTCTGCTCGTCCTTCCAGGGGGCCCTGCCCTTCCAGCTGTGCGTCTAGCTGTGCGAGTTTCTCCTCCAGGGGGCCCTGTCCTGCCAGCTGTGCTGCTGCTCGTTCTTCCTGTCTCCAGGTCGCCCTCCAACACGTCCCTGTTGAGCACCGACCGCGGGGCCTGGATGTGTGACCCCTGCTCCCGACCACCCCCCTCGGGGAGCTTCTGACCCGGGTCAATCCAGACCCGGGTCAGCGGAAATCAAAAAACTGCAACGCAGGAAAACAAAAACTGCGACGCAGGTCTTCGCAAACCCGGGTCAGCCAATATGCGTGGCCGCCTCGCGGCCACGAGCGGCTCCCTAACCCGGGTCAGCCCGAGGGGGTCTTTGCAGGATCCTGCAGGATCCGGCGCCGTGGCTGACCCCCGTTTGCATTGACCCCCGTCTCGAGGCTCCCGACCCCCCCCAGAGTCCCGAGCGGAGCCCGGGCGTGTGGACCCCGCCCCTGCCCACGTTTTCCCAGCTCCGCTCGTGCGGGGCTCGAGGCGTGTGGTCCCTGCGGAGGAGGAGGAGGAGGAGGAGGAGGAGGAGGAGGAGGAGGAGAGGTTGAGGGGAGGAGGGAGGGGGAGGAGGAGGAGGAGGAGGAAGGAGAGGAGAGGAGGGAGAGGAGGAGGAGAGGAGGAGGAGGGAGGAGGAGGAGGAGGAGGAGGAGGAGGAGGAGGAGGAGGAGGAGGAGCTCCCGCGGCGCTGCCAACTTCCTTTCTGCGACGTCCCGCCCTTCTGGCACTGCGGCCGCTGCGCGCCGTGGTGGCTGTTCAGGCGACTCGCTGCTGCCACACCCCGCCCGAAGCAGCAGTCGATCTTGTCCTGTTAGGGCACGCACGCGTCGATGCCAGGCCTCCTCCCGCCCTCTGGGCGTCTTTGGAGCTCTGGCCGCTCGTCGCGGCGGGCTTCTTCTATTCTGATGGCCCGCGCGCGAGCCACGTCCGGCGGGGCGATCGACGAGGCACGACGGTGCCCCTCCTTGGCCGAATGGCTTTTCTTCCTCCCTCCTCCCTCCCTCCCTCCCCTCGAGGCCTCCCTGCTCCCTCCTTCCTCCCTCCCTCCTCCTCCCTCCCTCCCTCCTCCCTCCCTCCCTCCCTCCCTAGGCCTCCCTCCTCCTCCCTCCCTCCCTCCCTCCCCTCGAGGCCTCCCTGGCTCCCCCCCCCCCTCCCCCTCCGGGCCACGCGCGGCCCGGCCGGTCACCATGTAGAAATGGGCGACGTGGCTGGCGCCGCTGCCCGTAAAACTGTCGGCGTCTGGGGCCACCTCGACCGGGGGGAGGGCGGAGGACGGAGGAAGAGGAGGAGAGGAGGAAGAGGAGGAGGAGGGGGATGAAGAGAAGGGCAGGATCAGATGAGCAGGAAGAGGAGGAGGAGGAGGAGGAGGAAGAGGAGGAGGAGGAGGAAGAGGAGGAAGAGCAGGAGGAGGAGGAGTAGTGGTGGTGGTGGTGGTGGAGGAAGGGGGAGTGGGAGGAAGAGGGGAAAGAGGGTTGGTTGGCTGGTTGGATCCCTCCTTCTTCCTCCGGGGGTTGAGGATGAGGGGAGAAGAGGAGGAGGAGGAGTTGGTGGGTGGTGGTGGGTGGAGGAGTGGGAGTGGGAGGAAGAGGGGAAAGAGGGTTGGTTGGCTGGTTGGATCCCTTCGGACGTGCGGGCGCGGCCTCCAGCATGGCTGCCAGGCGGTAGAGGCGGCAACGACGACGACCCGCGGCTCACCGCCAGCACACGAGCCGGGCCTCCCTCCACCCCGTCCCGGCTCCTGCTCCCCAGCCCGGCTCAGCCCAACTCGGCCCTGGGGCGGCGGAGAGGGAGGGAGGGCTCCTCCTCATGCCCCTCCTTCCTCCTCCTCCTCCTTCCAACTCCTCCTCCCCCTCTCCTCCTCCTCCTCCTCCTCCTACTACTCCTCCTCTCCTCCTCCTCCTCCTCCTCCTTCCACGTACTCCTCCTCCTCCTCTCCTCCTCCTCTTCCGCCTCCTTCCTCCTCCCCTCCTCCCCCCCTCCCCCTCATCCTCTTCCTCCTCTCCTCCTTCCTCCTCCTCCTCCTCCTCCTCCTCCTCCTCTCTCCTCCTCTCCTTCTCCTCGCCCCTCCTCATGCTCCTGCCCTCCTACTCCTCCTCCTCCTCCTCCTCCTCCTCTCATCCCATCTTCCTCCTCCCCCGGAGGAAGAAGGATGCTCAGGGGATCCGGTCCAGCAAACCAAACCCTCTTTTTCCTCTTTCCTCCCATCCCCCACCCTCCTCCACCACCACCACCACCACTCCTCCTTCTCCTTCTCCGTCTCCTTCTCCTTATCCTTTTCTCCTCCTCCTCCTCCTCCTCCTCCTGCCCTTCATCCTCCTCATCCTCCTCACTCCTCCTCCGCCTCTTCCTCCTACTTCCTGCCCCCCGGAGGAAGACGGAGGATCCAACCAGCCACCCTAACCCTCTTTTCCCTTTCCTCCCACTCCCCCTTCCTCCACCACCACCACACCACCACCACCACCACCACCACCACACCATCCTCCTCCTCCTCCCCTCCTCACTCCTCCTCCTCCTCCTCCTTCATAATCCTCCTCCTACTCTCCTCCTCTCCTCTCCTCCTCCTTCCTCCTCCCCTCCTCCTCCTAATCCTAATCCTTCCCCCCCGGAGGAAGAAGGAGAGAGGGGCATGGGCGGGAGCTCCTCCGAGCCCCTCTGTGCCCACGGGCGGCCCGCCTGGCGCTCCACACCCGCGGGGGGCGCCGCGGCGCCTCCCGGTGCCCGGCGCGGCCGGGGCCTGCAGCACCCCGCGGGGCTGCCGCACGCTCCCGTGCCGAGGCGCATAAGGGGTCGCGTGCCGAGGTGGAGGGCGAGGAGGAGGCGGAGGAGGAGGAGAGAAGCAGGAGGAGGAGGAAGAAGGAGGAGGAGGAGGAGGAGGGAGGAGGAGTGAGGAGGAGGAGGAAGGAGGAGGAGTAGGAGGAGGAGGAGGAGGAGGAGAGGAAGGGGGGGTCCCCGGCGCCGATCCAAGAGGTCCGCGCGGAGCCCCGACGGCTTGGCCTGTGCCGCCGGCCTTAGGGGGCCACGTGCGAACCCTGCCCCCTCATATGAGCCCCCACGGTTTCTGAGGGGGAGGGTGGGGTTCACTTCGCTCCTCCTCCTCATCCTCCTCCCTCCCGCCTTACTCTCCCCTCCTCCTCCTCCTCCTCCTCTCCTCTCTCCTCCTCCTCCTCCTCCTCCTCCTCCTCCCCATACTCCCTCCTCCCCACCTCCCCCCTCTTTCCGCCCAACCTCGAAGCGCCGAATATAGGGGGCCACGCGCCTGAACCTACCCGACCCCCCACGATTTCTGAGGGGGAGGTGGGGTTCACTTCGCTCGGGAGCTCCCGAACGCAGTGAACCCCACCCTCCCCCTCAGAAATCGTGGGGGGTAGGGGCAGGGTTCGCGCGTGGCCCGGGCCCCTGTCCTGGTGCCCGGCGTGGCCCGGGCCTGCAGCACCACGGGGCTGCCGCACGCTCCCGTGCCGAGGCGGCCAGCGCAGCGCCCCGGGCCTGCCAGAGCGCCGCCCGCTCGGCAGCCGTTGGCCGGGCAGGCCGGAAGGATTATGGAAGGACAGGCTGGACCGCATACGATCCCAGAACTCCAACGCATTGACAAGATCAAGACGGAGGTTTTTCGCAATTTTTGGTCTCTGGGGGCCCTCGCCGGGCCTCGGGACCGCGAAAAAACGACTCAGGACGAAAAACCGGTCCTGGGGAAAGGGTCGGGACTTCCAGGGACCCCGCATTGAACAAATCACGACGTCGGAGCTCTGGGATTGAGGCTAGTCCACAAGAGGCCTTCCACAAGAAGCCCAATCCTGAGACCCCAGGGCGTCCATGGATGTTGGGTGTGGGAACGTCACGCTTCCCATAAGCAAAACCATCGAAACCCAAGAGAAACCCAGGGCATCCTGGAGGCAGGCAGGGTGCTTCTTGGCGTGGGCCTCCACTGTGGCGCCGCAGAAGACGCACGACCGCCTCCCAGCGACAGGATCCCCCGCGCAGCCGTGCCAGGAAGCGCTGCGCCACCCATCCCGCCCCCGACATGCGACGCCCTAATTTTTCCAGGGCGGCGCCCTCAGAAGTCCCGACACTTTCCCTGGGGGGAAGCCAGAAGAAAGAGGGACGGACGCAGGAAATGAGGTAAGTAGGTGATAAGGGAGGAGGGGCCGAGCGTTGTGGAAGCGAGGGCTGTCCGACGGACAGCGGGCACGTACGAACAGAGCGCAATGCCGCCAAGACTAAGGAGGAGGAGGAGGACGACGACGACTACAACCACCGCGACGCAAGGAAATCACGTCTTCGGGTCATGATTCGGGTCTCTGGCGTCCGTTCGGGACGATCCGGGCTCCAGAATGCTCTCGGTGAGGCGCGGCTGCGCGAAGGCATCCCGAGGCTAGAAAACCACAACAGCCCACGGACACACATGAAAGCCCGAACCGCGATAGCATCGACACAGGACAAAAGGAGGAGGCTCGGATCGGATCGCACTCGCGGAATGCGGGCGCTGTTCCGAAGCCGTCGCGACTGAGGACTTGATTTTGGCCTCGCGGGGGCACGACGACGACGACGTCGACGACGACGACGACGACGTCGACGACGACGACGGCGACGGCGACGACGACGACGACGACGGCGACGGCGACGGCGACGGCGACGAGCCGCGACGGCGAGGGGCCGCGACGCCGGCCGCGCCCACCTCGAAGCCCTCGATGCCCTTCCCGCACTGCGCCTGCTCGGGCGCGGGCGCCGCCCGCGCAGGAATGGGCGAGGAGGACGGGAGGAAAACGGGAGGAGGAGGAGGAGGAGGAGCAGGAGGAGGAGGAGCAGGAGGAGGAGCAGCAGCAGGAGGAGGAGGAGGAGGAGCAGGAGGAGGAGGAGGAGCAGGAGGAGGAGGAGGAGGAGGAGGAGGAGGAGGGCAGCAGGGAAGGAGCAGGAGGAGGAGGAGGAGGAGGCGGAGGAGGAGGCAGGAGGAGGAGGAAGGAGGAGGAGAAGGATGAGGAGGAGGAGGAGGAGGAGGAGAGGAGGAGGAGGAGCGAGCAGGAGGAGGAGAGGAGGAGGGGAGGAGGAGGAGTGAGGAGGAGGGAGGAGGAGGAGGAGGAGGGAGGAGGAGGAGGAGGAGGAGGAGCAGGAGGAGCAGGAGGAGGAGGAGGAATGGGAATGGGAGTGGGGCCAACGACAAAGTCATGGAGAACAATTGAAGTCTGGACCAGGGCTTGGGCCGCAAGCCCTGGGTAATTCCGTCCAAAAGCGCTTCTTGGAAAAAGGCTGGGGGCCACACTATGGCCCGCAGCCGTACGATGGCCCCCATACTACGTCTTCGCTATGGCATAGCGAAGAGCGAGCTGACGCATGACGGGCTGCCCAGAAACCCCACAATCTCCGCAGATCCAAACGCCAGAGTCCAAAGGACAAAAACCATCCTACGCCGGCCAGGAGCGTGGAGGAGGCATGAGGAGGAGGAGATGGAGGAGGAGGAGGAGGAGGTGGAGGAAAAGGAGGAGGAGGTCCAGTGTAAACCCAAAAGCCATCAACGATGTTGGAATAACCATTCCCTCAAAGCTCCCTCTTCATAGGCCCCTACACCGGCTCATTTCCATAAAGGGATCTGCTTCGTTGGAAGACAACCGTTTGAAGACCCAGAAGCATGCCAAAACATTGTTCTCGCGATTCCAACGCCGCGGATCAACCTGACTGTTGCATCTTGACGATTGTGGATCGTGCCAGAACGTCATTTTTGGGATTCCAGAACCACGAATCAACGTAACTGTTGCACCCGCACCATCCTTCCAAAACGTCATTTCTGGTACGTTGATCGCGGGAATCCGTGAAACTCTTACAAATTGTATGAGCGAGTGTGCGCGGCGCTAAGGCGAAAACCAAATTTTGAAAACGGGAGATCCTCAATCCGTGAAGCTCTTGCAAATTGTTAGAACGAATGTGCGCGGCGCTACGGCGAGAGCCACAATTTGAAAACCACCCGCCCTCCATCGGTGGAAGTGTTGCCAAGTTGTTAGCTTCAGAATCATTGAAGGTGAGGACGTCTCAGGCGAAACGCCCGGCCCGCCCTAAAAGCTAGCCTCGGGGTGCGACAGGGAAAAGTTATTGATGAGGAGAAGGAACGCAGGAGGAGGAGGAGCAGCAGGAGGAGGGGGAGCAGGATGAGGAGGAAAAGGAGAAGGAGGAGGAGCAGGAGGAGGAGGAGGAGGAGGCGGAGGCGGAGGAGGAGGAGGAGCACCAGCAGGAGGAGGAGGAGGAGGGAGGAGGAGGAGCAGGAGGGGGAGGAAGCAGAGGAGGAGAAGGGGCGGAGGAGGGGGGGGAGGAGGTAGGAGGAGGCAGGAGGAGGAGGAGGAGGAGGAGTAGGAGGAGAGGAGGAGGGAGGAGGAGGAGGAGGAGGAGGAGGAGGAGGAGAACAGAGGAGGAGGAGGCGAGGAGGAGGGAGAGGGGCGAGTCGGAGGAGGAGGAGCACAGGAGGAGGAGGAGGAGGAGGAGGAGGAGAGGAGGAGGAGGAGGAGGAGGCGGAGGAGGAGGGCGGAGGAGGAGGAGGCGAGGAGGGGGAGGAGAGGAGGCGGGAGGATGGAGGAGGAGCAAGCAGGGGAGGAGGAGGAGGAGGAGGAGGAGCAGGAGAGAGGAGGAGGAGGAGGAAGCAGCAGGAGGAGGAGAGGAGGAGCAGTGAGAAGGAGGAGGAGGAGTAGGAGGAGGAGGAGCAGGGGGAGGAGGAGGAGGAGGAGGAAAACAGAAACATCTTACGTGGCCTCCAAATCTCTGCGGGGGCCTGCGCGCCCCTCCCGCGGCCTCGCGCGCCTCGGAGGCACGGCGAGGCCAGCCGCGGTCGTCCTGGCGGATGCTCGCCCTTCGCCGAGCGCATCCACATCCGGAGCAGCGGGTCCCTGACTCGTGCAGCTGGTGCAGGGACGAGAAAGTGGCCTCCTCCTCTTCCCCTCCTCCTCCTGCTGCTCCTCCTCCTCCTCCTCCTCTTCCTCCTCTCCTCTCCTCCTCCTCCTCCTCCTCCTCCTCCTCCTCCTCCTCCTCCTCCTCCTCCTAGCACCGCCGTGGGTGAGCGTTTTCTTATTAGGCGTTCGACATTGGGCGGAAGGGGGGGGGTCTGGCTCCGGACCTCTGCTCACTGCGGCTGTTTGCAGCAGTGCGTCCTGTGGGGGAGGCTCCGCCTGCCCGAAACAGGCGCAACAAAAACAGCCAAGATCTGCTCCATGGAGGGGGGGGGTGCGAGGACCTGAGCCGATCGGCAACACAAGGCATACGCAAACGACCACGGACGGGGCGAGGAGAAAGAGGACTGTGCACGTACACCGACTCTGGCCAGGCCCATCCTGAGCCCAGGGTCGGTGCATGCGCCTCCGTGGCTTGGCTCGGCCATGGGAGGCGTATAGACCCCGATCCTGGGCCCCCGGACGGGCCTGGCCAGGATCGGTGCCTGTGCATAGGCCTGGTTGCCCGAAAGAGGGCGAGGGCGGCAGTTGGTGGTCCCCAAACGTGGTAGTGAGAACACCCGGTGGTGAGTTTTGGGCGATTTGGGTAATGGTTTTCGAGCGCTGGCTGGCCCAGGAAACGCAGAACCTCGTGGCGACCGCGTGTCCCCAAACCCGGGTGGTGACCCAGAATTGTTTTTGTTGAGGGAATCGGGGTCATCACGGGGTGTCTCACCACCTGGTTTGGAGACCACCAAGGCAGGGGGGGGAGGGGGCGGGCGGGGGCAAAGCAGCAGCAGGAGCCGGAGGGCGCTGAGACGCGCTCTCCATCCTGCGCACCACGACGGCCGCAACCATCGAGGCCAACGTGGATCTCATCACACGCCTGCGAACCAACCTGCTCTTATGCTCTGCCCCAGCCACGCGCGCACGGTCAAAATCAACAGCTTTGGGAATCCGGGTGCCTTCTTTCGCAGTCTCATCGGCGGCCCAGCTACATGCAGCCATCCAGCTGGAGCGGCGCCCAAACTCCAAGTCGCACGGGTCAACATGGGGGAAAACGTGAAGACCACAACTGAACCGATGCGAGCCTTCATCTGCACGCCAACTCCAACTTCTCGCCACAGAGCGGCGATCACACCTGCAGGTCTCTCATTACAGTGGTACCATCCACGAGCGACCGCATCATTGCCGGTTACGTAAATCAGATCTCCTGAAGGCAGCCTGATCGCAAGCTCGAAGCCCCTGAAGTCGCCCCTGGGAATCCACGGATGCTTGCCCGTCAGGGGCCCCAAGACGACAGGCCCAATAACAAAAGGGTCCCCGGAAAACGCCGAACATAAACCAACCCCAACACGTCTCAAACGCTCCTCCCTGCCATCCTTACCACCCGACGCGTCGCCGAACACATAGACTGGATTGTCAGCCGTGCCTGGGAACAAGATCATTGGCCAAAAGGTCGCAACAGCTCCACTGCTCACCAGCGGGTGGAGGCTCAACGTAAGTCCAACTAGCTGGCAACAGTCCTCTGTGCCAGAAACATGTATCGGCCGCCTCCTGCGCAAGTGCCTTAGGCAAGAGGTCCGATGACTCGGTGAAGGCTGGATGATCACAATTGTTGGGACACAACCAATGCCTGTGAGCAGGGGGCTGGGAGGATGGGGAGGAGGAGGTGGATAGAAGGAGGAGGAGGAGGAGGAGGGGGAGAATGACAGGAGGAGGAGGATAGGAGGAGGCCACAGGGGGGGGGAGGAAGGAGGAGGGGAAGGAACACAAGCGAGAGAAGACGGAGAATAAGCGGGGAAGGAGGAAAAGGAGAGGAGAGGAGGAGGACAGGCGGAGCATGGGATGATGATGATGATGATGATGATGATGATGATGATGATGATGATGATGAGGAGGAGGAGGAGGAGGAGGAGGAGGAGGAGGAGGAGGAGGAGGAGGATGGGGAGACACAGGAGAACGAGGCGGAGGATGAAGAGGAGGAGCAAGAGGATGGAGAGATGACCAACAAACTAATGAGATGAGAAGGAGGAGACGAGGAGGAGGGGGAAGAGGAGGAGGAGGACGAGGAGGAGCAGGAGGAGGAGGAGGACGGTAGGGGGAGCAGGGTGAACCCAAGACGTGTCAACGATGCTGCAGTACATCCTCCCGTCTCAAATTTTCCTCATCGTGAATCATCACAACTATGATTGCTTACTGCGCGCAGCCCCCCGAGCGCCCCGTGGAGCAAGACTGCCGGCGGAACGATGCCACTTTTGAAATAGCGTGACATGCGTCCTTCGAGATTCAAAGACTGCTGCCAACGACAGGCCCGCTCTGGCAAGGAACCATCCGCCATGCGCGTAGCCGTTGCGCAGTGTTGGTCTTCTGATTGAGCATCGAGCGGGATTTCAAAAGGGAGCCCCAGATTGAAGATGAATCGCCCTACATCCTCGCACCTGTTGGGCGATGCTAGGATCGAAGCGTGCCGCTACTATGCCCCGAGGCACGTGGTGGAGTATCCTCAGGCCCCTTGGTCAGAGAGAGCCCTCTGCATTGCGCAGTGCAGTGCTGTGAAAAGGGGGCGCACGGCCAAACGACCCAAACGATCTGTCGCGTGTCTCCATGTGGCGGGTTCCGGAAACCCTGAATCCGAAAACGGTTTTATCCATTGGGGACGCATCTGTTACTTCCTTGTTCACAGCACTACGCCAAAGCTCGCTCAATCGGACGCTTCGTGAGGGGCCAAATGAAACCTACCGAGTTCGGCGCACCTACAATCCTGCATTTTAGACGGGGGGCCCTGGACAGGGACGCGCGGGAAGATCGGGGGGCCAGGGCCCCGCACCCACGCTCCCCCGCCTCTGCGGAGGCGGCACAGCGGGTGCGGCCCTCGGACCCCCTCTGGGGCCTCGGGGCAGCACCTCCCAAACGGGGCGCTCGAGGATACAAGACCGAGGGGAAAAGCTGTCGGCGGCGGCGGCGGCAGCGGAGCCTCAGGGACAACCCACGCTCTCATTGGCATGTACGGTCCGCCCACGGACACATACACAATAATGAGGCAAATCCTGAGCTCCACACCCGCATTGCACACCAACGTCGAAAATGTGAGATGAAGATATGCGTTCAGACCCAACAAAAACTCACAAGCCTACCAGGCTATCATCCTCCCGCCGCTGATCTCTGTCGTTCAAAGATGGCCACTAAGGTGAGGCTCGAGGGCGCCTGGGCCCCACGGGCTCTGGGGCGAGGCTCGATTACTTCCTGGACTTACGTTTGCCTGCGGGCTTCGTTTTGCCATCGTCCCTGGAGGCTAGCTGCTCGATCTGCTTTGCGGCCATTGACTCCGGGCCGTGATCGTGGCCGAGCTGGATCGCCATGGACCCCGTGCCTCGGTCCTCAGGTCGGGGTGATGGTTGCGCGCGAAGATCCAACGTACCAGATCCTCGCCGTCGGTGTTGAGCTTGATCGTGAAGCATCTGGTGGCCTTCACGATCATGTCTGGATCTTGAACGAGCTGGCCCCACCTCTCGAAGACTCCGACGGCCTCGGCGACAGCCTGTGGGTGGGGTCCCTGCACGATTGCCTTCGTCAGCTTCTCGCGGTTGGTGGCGGCGGCCTCTGAGATCCGAACGGTGACCATCTTCAGAAGGCCCTTGAAGTCGTCGCCCTCTCGAGCGGTCTTGCCCACTCGTGCTTGCCCCTGGAAGCCTGTCTCCAGCGCCACCTCGAGCATCTGGCCCTCCTCCAAGGTCAGCGTCGGGTCGTCGTCGCAAGCCGCGGCCTGGTGGGCGGCCTCGTGCTGGAGCTGCAGGCGGCGCGTCAAGCATTGGAGCTTGCCATTGGAGGTCGTCCTTTTCTCCTCTTTGGCTCGTCCCTCGGGAGGCCCCTCCGCGCTGCGCTTCACCCCCCTGGAGATCACCGCGATCGGGGTGGACATGCGCAGCTGGCGGAGGCGGTGGAGCTGGCGGGCCTGGAAGGTCAGGAGCTGCCGTCTCTGGAACTTGAGCCTCGCACGCCTGAGGTCCACGACGCCGATTTTTTTGTAATATGACGAACATGCGTGTCCTTTCGGCTGGAGGAAGTAGAGCATCTGGGGCACCTCAGGGATCTCAGTTGGTCATCTGTGAGGCCCGTGGGGTTGGCGTACTTCTTGTGGACCGAAAGCATGTGGCTGGCCAAACCCTTGGGGCCTTGACACATACGGGGGCAGACTGGGCACTTGATCATCACCTCTGGGGCAGGAGCCACGCCCGCGGCTATCTTCGCTTCGTCCTCGGCCATGCACGTTCGCAATCGCCGAAGATGAGCTCGGGGAACCCGACGCAACCATCGAAGCCACTGGTAGGTCGGAGCGGGCCCGGGATCTTCCAGAGCATGGGCATCGCGGGCATCTTGTTGGGCCTCGGGGTCCATGGTCTGCCAGAGCTGCCTCAAGTCCTCACGTAGGAGTCCCAAGAGAGAGTTGGCTTCTTTATGACGGGGGCCCTCGAAGTTGGATCTGCCAAACACTACAGCCCGAACCAGACGAGAGGGATCGCACTTGGGGCCATCATCTTCGCCATCGCCATTCAGGGGCTTTTTCTTCATGAGGTCGGGGAAGGCAGGCCGAACAACACCCGTCCACCAGACAAGCCGTCTTTCCAGCAGGGTTGAGGCTACCGTCGCCACACGCGCGAGCCTCCTTACATCCACGTTACTGACATGATGAACATGAGCGGGAGCACGGGCAAGATAACGAAGCTTACGGGTCTGCCAGTGTTCCCGCCTGTTGAGGTCGCGTTTGGTCATGACAGCTATCTCGAGGCCATAGAGGAGCGTCGATCGAACCAGCGGACACCACAGTCGGACCCGAAGCTGAACGCTAAAGTGGCCATTAAAAGCCCGACGGGCCAGGCGAGCGCGCGCGGCGCTACCACCCTGAATCCGATGAGATACCTCCTCCACCATCGAACCATCGTGACGCTGCTTAGCTCCAAGATATTTGACGCTTGCAGTGGCATCTGCAGGTGTGGTGTGCATCTTAATGTTCGTTTGCCTGGCTCTAATATTAGTATTGCGTTGCTTGCTCTTGGTACCCGTCACCGCGATTCGCATCTCGGTCTTAGTGTCGTTTACGTTCATCTTACCCTTAGGGATTTCGGAATGCAGGAAGGCGAGAAATCGCGAGGCCATCTCAAAGTTTTCGACGATGGTGAAGGCGATCAGGTCATCCACGAACTTAATCGGCGAGACTACCATTCTCTCCTCCCTTTCATCTCCCATCGAGGTTATGCTGCTGCCTAATCTTTTTCAGCTCAGGGTCAAATGTGACGTATACTTCAGGAAGCTCCGAAACTGAGCGGCTGCTCTCGAGAGCTGACGTGAGGAGGTCGTACACTGCAACGAACAACAGCGGGCCCTCGACGCTGCCCTGGCGGACCCCCTTCGGGATGAGGGGCTTCCTGGTGGGCATGTTGGTCCTGATGTCACGGGCGATGTAGCACGTGCCTTCATGGAGCTCCTCGACTGTGAGTCTGACGCTGCGTTTGACGGCGAGCGTCTCGAGTGCGGTCCAAATCTCATCGCGGTCTATCAGGTCAAACGCCTTCTCGAGGTCAACCAGGACTGCCAAGAGCATGCCAGGCGTTGTGCCAGAACCAAGCCGAGACCTGCGCCCACGCAGACGATACCGCCGGATAACTTCAGCTACAACTGCAAGGGCATCTCGAGTAGACCTACCCGCCACAGCCCCAAACTGCGAAAACGATAAACGAGGCGCCAGTCCTCGAAGTTCGGGCATGACCGTAACATTCATGTAGGCCTAGCCAATGTGGTTGATCAGGTTGATCGTTCTGTAGTGGTCTTTGGCACACTTGCCGTCGCCCTTCTGCTTCCTGAAGGGGGGCCGCTTCGCCGCCCTTGAAGCGCTGGGCAGAGTGGCCGAGGGCCTGGCAGGCATGGAACACGTTCGGTAGAGCTGGGGCTGTTTCGGTAACGCATAACTTCCTAATCTCACTGACGGATCCATCAGAGGGCTGGTCGGCGTGGCGATCGGTGTTGGGCTCGATAGCGTGCCCCATGTCTTTCATCGAGGGCATCTTGAGGACGGGGGTACTCTTGTAGTTCGGCATGTTGCGAATGGCCTTCGTTATGTCATCGACGTCGTAGGTGTCAATGCGCGTGTCATCTCTCGGAAGAAGGCCTGGGAGTCCACCTAGGCTGTGCGTGTCGATGATGGTGCCATCAGAAATGGTGCTCAACGCTCGGGTTCTGACCTCGACCTCCTCCTCTGCGTCCTGGCAGGCTCCTCCGGTTGCGGGGCTGGTGACCGCGACGACGGGGGCAACTGGCCTGGGAGCCAGGCGCCGCACCACGGCGTGCAGGCGGCGGAGGTTCATGGCGGCCTCTGCTGCTTCTGCTTCTCTAGCCGTCTCAGCGAGGTGCTGGCGGCGCTCGGCTCGAACTGCTTTGGCTGCGGCTCTGGCTGCCTCGTCGAACCTGGACTGGGGGCGGCCGTAGGCGGGGGTGGTCTGATCCGCGTGGAGGGCCATGCGTCTCTGGATCTCGTGCTTCAGGTCTATCAGGGCCAAGGCCTCACCCTTCAGCTTCGGTCTATTCACCTTCGTCGGCTGGAGGAGGTAGTGCGGGGCCGCAGCCTCGATCACCGCGTGCTCCAGCGCATTGAAATAGTCGGAGGGCGTGCCGCGCTGCTGGCCCTCCCCGCAGACCCGATGCCACGGCTGGGTTAGATTACGTTGGCGGAGAAGAGTCTGGAGGTGGTCGCGCATCGCAACAAGGTGAGGTGGGACGTCGGCATTCTCATCGCTCAGTAGGCGTAGGTCCTTCTCCAGAGCTTCGCGATTCCATCTAACTGGCTTGGGCTCAGGGGTTCTTTTTGCACGCACGCCAGCGTAGATGTGGGCTTCAACTGGGCGGTGGTCTCGATATCCTCCGAGGCTAACTGGTAAGTCTTTTAGGGGGTGAGCCTTGGTGTCATAGGCTTCGCACAATCTAACACAAATGTAGTCGATGGTCGTCCAGCCCTTGCCGATCGCACGATTCCACGTTCCATTCTGTCTCGTACGCTTGCCGGAGGTGTGAGGGCGGACAGGTGGAACGGCCGGAGGAAGTCTAGCAAGCGGGCACCGTTACCGTTCAAGCTGGTGTGCATGCGGCGCTGGCCCGCAAAGCCGACGTGCGGGAGCTGGGGCGCCAGGGCAGCATTCGCATCCATGGTCATCACGAGGGCGACCCGCTGCGGCAACTGGCGCAGGGCGGACTTGCACGTGTCCCAAAAGCGGTCCTGGAGGTCTCGGTGGACGATGCTCTTCTGGCGTTGGTCCTCGCCAGCCTTCGCGGGTCCAACTTCGTCGAGGGGGGCGTAGCCGTTCAAAATGTATAGGTATATTTCGTTGGGCCCCTTTCGTGTAAGGCGAATGCCGTGTAGTCGGTCGTCCAGCCAAGTGTGGGACACTCTAAGTTCTGAAGGAGCGAATATGCGGAGGTCGAAGGCGATCGAGCAACCATCTCTGCTCGTTCGTGTCGTGCGCGGGGTAGGGATGATTCTGTAGCCTTCTGTAGTCCAGGGAATGCTCAGCTCCATGAGGGCGCTCTGGAGGCTGACGACTGCCACTCTCCTGGATCTCGCAAGCCTGAGAATCTCCGCCAAGCGATCTGCCCGAAGTAGGCTCTCGCAGGTGTAGGTCCAGAAGGTGAGCTGCTGGGTGTGGCGGTGGTCTCGGCGGCGGCGGTGATGATAATATACGGCGGCACTGGTGGCCGTACTTGGTGCGGTAGGCGATGTACGAACTGGTGTCGTAGCCAAACGCGTGGACGTCGGTGTTGCTTCTGGAGCTGTGAATTCATGCAGTACTGGGGGAAGTGCGGCTGCCGTGGCTATGGTATACCTCTTGCCATGGTACCACACCTGTCCTTCCAATCTCAATGTTCGCACGGCCCGTCGCAGGGCCCTTTTGCCACCCATATGCACTTGCTCCCTGGGGGCCGCTGTCGGCATTGTCGATCTTACCTCCAGGTTCAGGACCGTCGTGCAGCGGTCCAGCGCTCACCTCGCCGACCTCAGGGTTCTTGGAGGTCTTCCCCATCACATGCGCCTCGCAGCGCTGGCCATGGCGGCAGAAGGGGAGAGGGTCGGTGTTCGGGCTGGGACTTGCGACCCAGCACGCACAAGAGCACGCTGTGTGTCACTCGAGCCGTCGAGGCTTATCTGTTACTTCCGCCGCCTTCCGCCGGCTTCCGCCTGTGGAGGCGGCCTCGTTTTACTTCCGCCGACCTTCCGCCGCCCTTCCGCCGCGGAAGAGATGACAACTCCCTCGATCCTCGAAGGAAGGGCCCTTCTTGGAACGCCCCAGGTGACCTTCCCGGAAGCAGGGGGTCCTCCAGAGGGGCCAAGAGGGCCCGAAGAGGTCCTCAAGATGGCCCAAGAGCGCCCCGAGTCGCCCCATGATCGCTCGAAGGCGCCCACGACGCCCTCCGGACGGCCCAAGAAGCTGCCAGGACGCCTCTAGAGGGCTCCACTAGGCCCCACAAGGTGGCCCCGAAGGGCCAAAATCATGGAGCCCCCTGAGGTGGTTGAAGGAGAGCAGCATTATTGCTTTTTCGGACCTCCGACGCTCCAAGACGGCTCGAGAGGGCCCCAACGATCGCCGCAAGACGCCACCAAAACGCCCCGCAAAAGCCCCCCCCAACGTCCAAGACGGCCCAAGAGGCTCCCAAGGCGGCCCAAAAGAGCCCCAAGAGGGCTCCAAGAGGGCCCGAGGACGGGGGACTCGATCTAACATGACCCCCCAGATCGCCAGCAGGCCCCCAGGAGGCATCCCAAGCCCAGGAGGCACCCACGAGACCCTAATCAGGCCCCAAGTCAGGCCCCAAGAAGCCCCAAGAGACCCCCCAAACCACCTCCAAGATGCTTCAGACAGGCTTCCCCAGAGATTCCCGAAGGCATCCAAGAGGTTTCTGAGCTGCAACCCAGGCATAGTGGCGGGATGGGCCGAAGGCCACTACATACTTGTTGAAGAAATCTTGAGGTAGAGTGCCCTGTGGGAAATGGCTCGCCCTCCGCAGCTGTCAGATGATTACGACAGGTACGCGCGGCGCCAATTCGAGAACTCCATGTTTAAAGCGCTTTGCCACCCATCCGGGACTGTTGGGTCTCTTTGAGACGAGCGTCCGCACGGCCAACGCGAGAGTCCGTGTAACTGCTGGAATACTGAAGCCTCAGGACCATAAACGATCTCGAGCGAAGCACCCGGTCGATCCTAACAGCACGTCTGGTGGTGCGGCAGCGAAGGGTCACT